CACTTCATGTTGTTTTGCCCATTTGAAAATTTGGCCGAACCTCTGTGAAGATGCCGAGCCCCTATGGAGAGGTCGAACCCATGTACTGGGGTTGAACCTATATGAAGGACTGAGCCCTCATGGATGAGGCGATGTAGGTAGAGGTGTTGCAAAGGATCTTTCGTAGAAGATCTTCCGACAACAAAGGATCTTTCGTACAAGATCTTCCAACAACACACTACAACAACCACTATATCAAGTCAATATGTCAAGTTTACCCTTATGTGTTAGCCTAGAATTGGAAAAGGTTATAACATTAAATACGCATGAGCCTAGGACTGATTTATTGATGCCTATGATAAGGTGCCTCAACCACGAGGATGAGGCTACTTGTCTCTTATCAAATGGTTTTTATTCATTCACTTATACTATAAAAGCTCACATATCGTGTCATTCACATGTAATGCAAGTTTATGCTATTAATGTATAACTTTTGCTCTCTCTATCCTGTACATAACCTCGGATCCGAACCTATTTTACTCAAATGGCTCACGTCTTAAGCATGTCCCACACCCACATTATTCTTACAAAGACTGACTTGACCATTGAAGTGTGCACGGCTGCCTCCATTACCATAGGAGATTTGCCACGTGCTCTAACGATTTATCATCATGGGTAGGACAAAGGTTTACATGTGAGAGGATTCGTGATCTGTTGGCCACTTCTCCCCCACAAAAAAACAAGGTCAACACATGTAAAATAATTGTTAATTTAAGTACTAATTGCATGATTATTACTATTGTGGAATTGTTGGTTTGATTTCTATTCCTGCATGTGGCTGCATATAGAAACATGGTATATTTGAAAGTGTGATTGCGTTTTGCAATCCAAAGTAATAAAGTGCGATTAATCTTATTTTTGTTTCTGTATAACACGGATTGTAATTTTCTTGTTACATTGGGCAGCATGGGTTACAGTTGCACGTGTACATATTGGTTTTCTAATGGAGAAAGAATACGATTTTAAAGGCTTAGCCCTTGTTTGTTGTAGATTAAAATCGGATTTTTAGTAAATTTTGTTAAAAAATGATGAAATGTGTGATTGAAAAGTTGCGAATCCAATAAAATATATGACTAAAATTAATTATTGACTTTGAATTGAAATTTTAATCTGTACCAAACAATGACTTAATGAATAATCGCTTTGTTCAAGCCTCAGTAATAGTCTTCGTGACTTTATCCGTTCAAATATGTACTTAATGAATTATGTATGGCATTGTGTATGTGAATGTTGGTCAAGTAGTCGGGGTTTACAACTTACAACATTTGTGTTTCATTGTTTTGAAAATAATATTGCAAAAATGTCCTGTCCTCAAGCCGAGGACACGACAATTAACATTGGAATTATATCTACAATATATTAAAAGTGGAAGTTGGGGAGAAACTTTTGAATACCACTTTTATCCTTACATATTTATTTATATGCCCAATATACCCTTGTGATTTAGAAAAAGAAAAAAATAATAATAAAAAAATTGAAAAGTTGCATTAATACGTTGTGATTATTATTGACCCTTATTTAAAAGTTGTTTTAATTGATAGTTACATATGAATATACAAATATACAAAAGTTAGATAAAAATGGAATACCAAATGATTCAATTTATTACCTCTAAAAAAAAAAAAAAATTGAAAGGTTGCATTAGTATGTTACACACGAATATACCTAAGTTTAAATATAAACGGAATACCAAATTATTCGATTTATTACCGCTAAATAAGATAATTAATAATTATTATTGCTTTCAAAAATTAAGTTTATTAATTTCCACTAAACACAATTATTATTAATTGTTATTATACAATTATATATAAGAGTAATGCTATTCGTAGTACACAATTACTAAAAACGTTATAGCATACAATTAAAAGAAATTATAATAATACTACATATATAGTTCACTACGGAATATCAAAGGTTAACCACGGAATACCATGATTCAATTTATTTCCTCTGAATAAGATAATTAATATTGCTTTTAAAAATCAAGTCAATTAATTTCCACTGGACACAATTACTACTAACTATTAGTACACAATTAATAAAAATATTATTACATACAATTAAAATAAATTATAATAATGCCACATATATAATTAATTTGAACTGGCATATTTTATTACATCCATTAATATTAATGTATAATATCTATTTAAAAAAATATTGCTTATACAGTTAAAATTTTTCAAACCTAATATTACATATTTAAAATAATATTGACAATCGATTAGTACAATACTTGATCAAAATTGTTGATGAAATAGAACTTTATATAGATGATGACTTCATCAACTTTCCAAAGGAGATAGTTATAGCATGTGACGGTACTAAAACTTCGGAATTACACTTAATCAATGTAGTATTCCTAGGTTTAATGAAAAATGTATCTTCTTCTGATTATATGACACAACATGAAATTCTTTCAACAAAAAATAAGTATGTTGACTACATCAATGACAAAATAATTAGGTTATTTTCTGAAAAAGTAAAGAATTTGTCAGCTTTGAGGAAACAATATATGATACAAATTAACTTTATAAAGAGGAGTTCCTAAATACATTGATGTCAAATGGTATCCCGCCGCATAAGTTAATTTTGAAAAGAAATTGTCCAGTGATGTTCTTGAGGAATTTGGACTCATCGAATGGTATTTGCATAGAACAAAAATAATTTGTCGTAATTTCAAGATACATATTATCAATATAGAAATAATCGTTGCACAACATGCTGAAAAACAAGCTTTCCTTCCATGTATCCCATTAACTCCAACAAATGATAAATGATATCTATTTAAATTCGAAATGAAACAATTTCCATTACGTCTATAATTTGTACTGACTATTAACAAGGTTCAAGGACAAACAATGTCAACTGTTGGAATATACCTTCATGAACGTATATTCTCTCATAGGCAATTATATGTCTTACTTTCTTGTGAAGTTTTTATGTAAACAAAAAACGTCTTAATAAAAGCAGAAAAGAAAGACGATGTGGTACGTTGACAAAAAATATTGTATATGAAGAAATATTATTGTAAATTTGTAATCATACCAATACATTTAAGTTTATTCAACATTTTCACATATTTAACAATATCAATTATCTCAACTTCTTTAAAAATAGTATTCGTACTTCAAAAACATTATGCATATAATTTATCGAATACATAAAACGTGCAAAACACGTGCTTACTACTAGTTTGTTTAAAGTTGCATACTCTCTCTTTGAAATATTACAGGGTGCCATGTTATTTTGATGGGTTCTTGTAAGTGTATTATTAATTGAAATTTCGATTGTTGATATAGGGATTTATCCATAACATTGTAAAAGTTTAATTTTAGGGAAATTTACATTTTTGTCCCTACCCTTTACTAAAATATAATAAAATCTACATCAACATTTTAATTATGTAGTCCTTCTATTTAAATAATTTAAAATAAAAGAAAGCGGTAAAACAAAAAAAAAAAAAATACAAATAAAATTCCATAACTTTTAAAAAAGTAAAAATAAACCCCAGTTAAATACATATTAACAAATAAAAAAGAATCTATATAGACTATCAATTTTTAGCTATTGAAACCGACCAGAAATGCAAATCGCGCAAGCGAAATCGGGTGGGTGACTTACGAGTCAACTAACGATTTTTAGGTGAAAACAATTCAAGAGACTTCGAACTACATGTTGATTTAAAGGTCTCAAATCTTGTGACCCAAAATATTTTTGAAAGGTTTGAGATCCTTGATACAATTTATATTATTATTTTGTTTGATCCCCAATATTTCAGAAATACATTTTTCTTTATATCTTATTTTCAACTGCACGTTTTTCAATAAAATAATATAAACATAAATTCAAAACATTTCCTTATTTTTAATTACATATTCTCTATCAAAATACTATTTTAAAATATATTCTTTGGGAAAATAGAGCTCAAACAAGCTCTATATTTGAAGTGATTAGACAAAATTGTCCTTCTGAAATTAAGCAAGTGTAATCCACGCAGCTATTCGGATAGCCGTGGACAAAAAGGAACATGCTCTAAATTTGAATATGAAATAATAAAAGCCTTTATCTCTCTCCAAATCACATTCTATAGTTCTTATCGGCACTCGAGTCTTTCGAATTCCCAGAATTTCTTAGTTAATCCTTCCTTTGCCTTTTAAATGGAGCAACGTTCTCTGTTGTTAATAAATTGGTATGCTCTAATGGCTATTGGGGCAATCTATTGCGGTACGTTTCTGTAATTTTCATTCGCTTTCTATTCCTGAGTGGTCAACTTGGTCTTTGAGTTTAATAAGAACAGCAGTCATTCTTCACCATATTCAATTTCAGACAGGAAATAGTTAGCAGTTTATACTGTTTCGGTTAAAAGTTCAGAAATGCATAGAAAGATAAAAAAAATAGAAGCCCATTTTGTTTGTGGCATTTTCACAGTAATTTGGTAGTCAATCAACAATGAGCTAAAAAGGGTCAGGTGAATGTGTAAGAACATTTGATTGAAAGAGAGAATATGAACACGAATGTTTTTTCTTATGCTGGATAAGAAAAAAGGTGAAATGAAACTACATTCATATTATTACTATTTCTCGCATTGTACTTTGTGTTCTCTTATATACCTAACAAAAAACTGCTTTAACTAGGGATACGGTGCTATGATTTTGGTCATCTTATTGTGTCCGCGATGCAGTCTGTTTGGCATTTATTATTGTTATTGGTTGAAAACGCACAACAGCTATCCTGGTTATTGGAGTTCTCTTTTGACCGGTTTTCTGTATATTTTCTGAACCTCGATGAAATGGATGCATGTCCTTTCTTTCTTGTTGAATGTAGATGGAGATGGATGATTATGATATTATACAAGACGCTGCTTTGGTATGTTTCACTTTGTAGTCATTCCATTCCATAGATATTCCTAGTGGAAGTGAATGCGTTGTGATGCTGTGTCCATGTGTTGTCTAAGGCTACATGCTATCATCATCAGAACTTCTATCATACCGTATGTTGTATCGGCTGAGTACTGGAAGCAGTGCATTTTCAGGAACTCTGAATGATCTCCCGGCACCCATGGTTGTTTGTTCCTGCACCCTCCCGACATCTTTGCACACGTTGTCCAATATGGAGAGAAAATCTCGTACAATCATGAAAATTCTCAAAGGATGGGCCTCCACTTTTGCAGCATCCCCGTGGAAATACTCGGTCACCTCTTTGACCAAGGATAAGGCTTTTCTTTCTTCTGCCTTTATCCTGATGATTTCATCTTCAGCCTCTTTAAGAAACATTTCCATCAAATCGAAAAATTTACCTTGTATACTTTGCTTCTCATGTTGCAGAATCAACCTGACTTTCTCAAGACCCATTTCAAGCTTGGAGACATAGCTACTCAAGACATCTGAGTCCATTCCCGCTGCCTTTTTAACATTGCCAAGCTCTTTGCTTAACCCTGCTACAACTTGCAATCCTTGCTTCTTAAAATCCTCATCTTTAAATCTGAAATTTGATTTATGTGGGAGGCTTTTGATTATAGGATCAGAACCTTCTCCTTCTGACCTGATAATCTCTTGGACTACAAAGTGAAGTAAGGTTGTCTTACCATCTGTTCCCTTTATGTCCACTAATTTCAACAAAGTATCAAGTTTAAAAGCTTTGGCGCCACCACGGTTTGTACCAACATTCATACGGTTTCCTGTCCTTAGAACAGCTTCAAGGAGTTTAATAAACAGATGACTAGTTTTCAATTCTTCACTTGCTTCCTGTATTATGTGACAAGCTATGTGTAAGAAAAACATGCAAGGAAAGGATAACTGAGATTTCCAATTGCACTGAAATAAAAGAAATTAACAAAATCATTCTATCAAAGCCTTATCACAATATTGGCCAACGTTAAAGAAGTTGACAGTACCTCTAGAGTCTGAAAGGACTTTCTCAAGTATTTTACTTCCGTAGTGAAGTTTGCTCTGTATAGCATAGCCTCCACTCTTCTAAAAGCAAATGGAATATCCAGTATTGCCTTGAGGAATCGTTCTGCTGTTCCTAACTTATAGGTATCACCACTGTAGTCTTTAAGTTTTATTTCTTCCTCCTTGGTCGGTGCCATCTTCACTAAAGTCTCCAGAAGCTCCGGACCCAGTCCTTCTGGATTTCCTGCAACATCAAAACATACGTGTGCGTGATTGAATTCACTTGCCAGACTCCCGAAGTTTAGTTACATTATAACTAGTGATCAACTCAATAACAGCCATCAGTATTCCAATGGCTTTTGCATCATATACTGACATTCTAAGTACATGTTTGGTATGTATGCTGAAAGAACTAAACAGCATAATAAACAATATTCTAACCTCTATTTCTTCTTTAGCACTCTTGAATCCTTCCTACCAACCATACCATAGTATTAGCATTGCATGTTTATTATGCATTACACATCTGAGTATGTGGAAGTAGGAAGTATCATGGGTATCACTTGACTCATTTATTGAACTAGTAGAGTGAGAGGATTAAGTATGCTCCTGAAGTTGATTTCAAGAGTATCTATATTTTATAGTCGAGATGCAAACTTTTACCAGTATATGCAGTATGCAATCTATGTTTGGGTGTCATACAAATATATGTCCTACATTCTGCTGTATCCTTGAGTGTCTCCGAACAAAAAACCTGATAGAATCAAATCCACCCCCACCCATGCACATGAGCCTTTTTTTATCATTTTTGAACCATTATTTTCATTATTGTAAACCACTAACTTGACTTGGAAAATTGTTGATTGCCTTTTGACTTTGCACTTAGCAGTGTCAGCATTTTTTATTGTTCTAACTTCATAACCTCAATGTAAATTTTAAGGGGGATAGAATATACTAGCAGCTCTAATCTTAATTTGCTGCTCAATGAATATTTATGCACTTTGTTTATTTTGCCAGCTAATCTGTGATGAAGAACCTTCCTCCAATGGCATTAAGTTTTGTTAGCCTTAGGGGTTTCTTTGGGTGGGCAAGGAGGAAGCTAACATCACACCCATCAATTGTATTGGACAACTCTCAAGTAAAAAGTCGAGAGGCCAATGAAGTTGATTGTGCTGTGCCAATAGAAGGTCATAGAATATATACATTTTGCAGGCATCCACCTGGTTTCCTTTGTGAATAGCCTTTGATGTAATACTTGATCAGATGGCTGTTATTTCATAGTTTTTTTTACCTAAGTACATTTGAATTGTCTATAAATTTATCATGTATGTTGTATAGAGAAAGCAAATTATATAACAATTTTTCACCTTCCTGTTCTGCAGAAATTATCAAATGACTTGAGTTCACTTTTGTGAATAGGCTCTTATGTAATACTTGATCAAATGGGTGTTATTATACTTTTGTTACTAAAGTCCATATTAAGGGTCTATAAATTTATGACATATGTATTATCTTTGTACAAAGAAAAACAAATGATATGTTAAGACATTATTTCACCTTCCTGTTCTGCTGAAATTGTCGCATAACTTGATTCACTTTACCTTGCAGGGAAGGATGAAAGGTTTACATACCATCTAAAAGTGCTTCAGCAACCTCATCTCTTGTGACGTTCAATGCTCGTAACATTATAGCAATGTTCTGTGATTTCTTTGGATCTAGGACTCTGTTCTCCTGTTCTAAAGGAGGAAGGACTGACTTCCTAGTTGATTCTTTAGTGATTGAATTTGCAAAATTGCATCCAAAAAGTGACTCCATGGCATCCTCATTTAACCTGCAAGATAAGAATTGCTTAGTAAGAAATTGTACAGTCTTTAATAAAGAATGTATAGCATTCTACTTACTGGAAGGAGCTTGACTTTATGTGGTCCCAAACCGTGGCTCGATCTGAGGTTGCTCGTACTTTGTCCCAATGCAAAGGCTTCAACTTGGGTTTTGATCCATCCTTATCATCATCATCATCATCTAATTTACTCAACGTACTGAGACCTTTATCAATTTCTTTAACTGGACTTCTCCTTTCAGTCCCTGGGCTTGATTTTGGGCTAGAACTTTTTGACTGTGGTCTAACTGGTTTTTTAGGAACGGATGGTTTATTTGTTTCCATAGCCCCCAATTTTCTTGGTATTGGAAAAGAAGGCGGCGGCGGAGGAGGAGGAGGAGGAGGCGGAGGCGGAGGTGGAGGTGGAGGTGGCATTGGGAACTTAGATGCTTGCTGCTCTTCATCGTTCATTGATTGAAGCGGTGCCATATTTGGTGGTGGAGTTGGCGCTGAAAATTTGGCCTGTTTAAGAATATTAGGCAGTGTTGGTCTACTAGACTGCAGTGGCCCTAAAGGACTAGTTGCTGTTGATGGTGGAGGAGAAGGCAGCGATTGCTTGATTGGTGGTATGATTGGATGCTTTCTATCGGGAGACGAGGTAGAAAGGCGAGATTTTGGTGAAGTTCTCTTGGAATGGGGGAGAGAAGAAGCAACATGACTATCCGGCCTGGACTGGTTCATCCGGCCAGTATTGTTGCTTGAGTTGAAACGACGTGAGCTCGGGGACTCATTTTTCATGGACGACCCTTGTGGAGTGTAAAAATTTGCGTCATGGCTCTCATCATCCGACGATGACATGGGGGGTGGTGAATTTATGCTAGGAGGTGGTGGGGGTTTGGTAAGTGGTGGTAGTGGCTGAAGGTCGGGACTAGGCCTATATCTATCTGACCTTTTTCCTGAATCCAATTTTCTATAAGGTGAACTGTTGGTATCAGTACTCACTGTACCTCTAGTGGATGGTTCCACAGCCCCACTGTACAAAAAAGTGGATGGTGGATCATTAGTTCTTTGTAAATTGGTACCAACAAGTTTTTGGGACTCATCAGAGTGTCTCACTCTGTGTTTGTACAAATAGAATGCCAAAGCTGACAACATTCCTAGTATAACAGTCCCAACTGATATTGCAATTGCCACTTTCTTGATTGGCTTGGTTGCTGCCTGCTGCTGCTGCTGATTGGCAATTGGATTTGCCACAGGTGTGCCATAGGCTGGTGCAGGAGGAGACTGCTGGACCTGATCCGGTGTTTGCCCGGTTTCATGGGAGAATGGCTGGTCTTGGTCTGGGGTGTCTGGCTGTAATGGCGGAGGCGGCGGCGGTGCTGCTGGTGGTGAACTATCTGGAAACAATGACTCATGCAGAATTCTTCTGTTTTCGCCAAATGAATCATGAATTCTCGGCTCTTTACCTGTTGCAAATTCAAATGTAGCCAAGGATAGGATCAAGAGAATGCTCAAAATATGAGGCCTCATTGTGTTGTAAGCTCTCTTATGTTCCTTCTTTCAGCCTATTCATCTCTGTAATCAAGATTTAGAGAGAGGCTGTAAAGAGAAGCTTCTGTGAGCTGCAAGATCTAGATGCCGAGAGGATGATCCTCGAGTAGTAGCTGCACTTTTTTCATGTAATGTTATTCCTAAATTTTTTTACATACAACTTATTATTATATTATTAATAATTTTTTTAAAGATAAACTCTGTAAATACTTCAGACCTGACAACCACTTTTACTAGGGAATATTGCACCATTAGTCGCCCAACATATGATACTTGTTATAATTTTATCCTCAACTTATTTTTCTGGCACTGGATTGTCTAACTATTCCTTTTTGTAGTGTTGTTAATGGACGGATTATGTCTATTGACTTTAAAAAACTAATTATTTTATTGTAAAGATGATCATCTCTTTATTAGTTACAAAAAAGAGAAAAACTGTAAAATAAAAAATAAAAAAAATAAAATGCTGCACTTCCTCGAGTTTGCTTCGTTTTCGGTGTCTTTCTTTTATTTTCCTGTTTTTATACTGAAAATAAGGGCATAATTTTTTTAAAAAAAATTTCAATTAAAAGATTTGATAGAATGTTTCTAATAGGGATGGATGCAATAAAACTAACATGTTGAGGGCAACGGTATCAGAAAAAATAAGTTAAGGACTAACAATGTAATTTCTCCCGGTTTATTAAGGATGGAGAGTGACATACTGACATGGGAGTGAAATAATTGGACGTAGTGCTGTGCTAGAAAGGCCACGTTAGCGTTTTGAACAAAAAAAATAAATTTAATTGGAACACCAAAGCACAAAAAGCATAATATTTTATGAATGACTCCACACACCAAGAGACACCAATATTCTTTTCACTACTTTATTTAAAGATTATAAACAATTCTCCCGACACAAATTATATTTTTTTTCTTGTTTTTTTAACTGTAAAATTTAAAAATACATTTCCAAAATCTTGGGACGACTGTGTTCAAACAATGAAATAAATTGATATACTTCTATGTTATTTTTATTTCCAATGACGTAGCAATTCATATAAACAGAACGTTTTATAAACCAGTCCGAGTATTGATTTAAAAACGTTAAGTAATCAAAAGTCGAATCAAGATATAATCAATGGTCAAGAAGACATTTTCCTCTTTTTTAAAAATGGATTAGTAAAAGTCAATTTTGGTTCACGTGATTTTGAGTTTAAGTCGATTCTAAACTTCTTTTGAGGTTTTATGTTTTCGGGATGGATTTTAAGGCAATCCTCAAGTTTCCCACAACATATTATTCTTGTTAATAGTAAAGTTTTGTGTCGGTTAAATATAAAAATACTCATCAAGAGGCTACTCTTCTAACATGATATCAGAATAAATAATGTCTTGAATCAAGTCTGACTATCGCTATTTTAAATGAATTGTGCACGTCGTTAGACTTTAATTTATAAATTTATCTCGCATACACACGAAAGGCGTGTCGGAAGAATAATGTTATTTATCAATATGGCGATAAAATATCGGTGATGTGGCAGTCTATATGAAATAATAAGATTGAGTAGTTCAAATTTTATGATAAAGAGGGGAATGACAGAGATAGAGATGTGAAGGATAATGAGTTGTCACATTACCGATATTATATTATCATGATGATAAATAACATTACTCGCGTTGAAAAGAATAGTTAAATGATATATACGAGAGGGAGTTATTGAAAATATTATTTGAATAATATATGTTGCCCTAATTAATCCTTTAATATTTTAAATAAAGTGATTTTACCATTCGACATTTTGAAGATGATTATCAGTAAAAAAACATCATTAATGGATTAATTTCGTAAACACAAAGATAATCATTAATCTGTTTTATTTTGATTGGTAATTATAAACAGATTCATCCATTAGATTATAATTATTTTAGCCTCAAAATAAGAATAGATTTCGGGTTTTTTTGCTTATTGCTTAGGGTGGAAATACATTTCTTTATAAATCAATTCTAATTAATGATTAACAAGTTATTTATCCTTTATTCCGAAGTAAAGTTTTGTATATAAATCATTGCTATTTTTTTGGTAAAGTGACCTCAACACGCTTGACGGTATTAATAAAGAAAAATAAGTTAAAAAATATTATATAAATCATTGCTATTTATTTATTGATAAAGTGACCTTATCCCCCTTGACGGTATTAATAAAGAAAAATAAGTTAAAAATCTTACTCTTATTTATTTATTTTTGTGAATTTCAATTTGGTCACTCTATTAATGCCTCTATCAGAATTTCAGATAAGACATGATAATTTGACTTGTGCCGATATGAAAGTCTTCTCAATTATACATCTCGTTGGTAAAATTGTTCCGATTTGTCTATTATCTAAGTTAAGGACGATCGAGTTAGCTGAATTCAATTTGAGCTCAAACAATTGTCAATAACACTCATGCTGCGAAATTAAGAAAAAAAAAAAAAGTAAATTCCCTAATATATGTGAGTTTTTCTCTCGCATTGTTTCCTAATCTATGCTTATTCCATTGGGAAAAAACTAAAAAATATTCCAATTTCACGTAGCACGGCAAGCCCACGCACTCCACCCCACCCTACCCTACGCTCTTGATTCTATGTGATGAATTAGGACATCCTTAAACACAAAAGATGATTCTCATAAAGAGAACTGAATAGTACGATTACGTAAAAGATACGGTAATCTATTGTCAAGTACAACAAACTACGAATTTTGTTGTGCTCCCAATAGGGGGGTTGCCATTTGTCCATTATGGACACATACACATAGCAAAACCCAAAAATAAGTGATGAATACATAATAATACTTGTGGATCTCATGAAATATGAAAAAATAATTTGATTGATTATAAACATTCATCTCGAAAAAGTTTACCTTGTTAAGACTAGCATGACTCTTGCATATATCATATTTATTTCAATCTTATTTGAAATCAAATTTACCCTTAACATGCCGCACAAAATGATAGCTCTTTTGAAAAACACCACTTATGAAATTCGATTGCTTGTTTGAGCTCTAAACAAAACAATTTGCTCATTCATGCTTAATAATCTCTGATACAATATTAAGATTTAGGATTATCTTGAAAGACCAACCTTACTAAGAAAAATAACACAAAACATTTGTAAATTTTATATTTATTTTATCTTTTTTCTCGTGTCTTTATCTGATATCCATATCTGAATTACTAATTGTAATGTTTGTCATTATTGTACATGCGATTCATTTTTTATCGTCAAAACCTTTTAAATTATTTGATTATAATTGATAAAAAAGATCGATAAATTTAAAATATTACCAATTCCAAAACGAGAAACCTAAACCTTGTTAGTATTCAAAAACAATTTTCTTTTGAAGTAGACAACACGAAACCTTTGATTGTTGTCTTGTACGATGGAAACTTTTTGCCACCTTAATATTCTATGATGAAAGACATATCCAACCCACAAGACAAGCCTGTTTTCTTTTGCTATTCCTCTCTCTCTAGAAAACTTCTCCAAGCCAAAAGCAATGGATGTTTAATTCCTTGTATATATATTTCATTCAACACTATCTTTATTCAATTTTATTTATTTTGGCCAAAATCTTCATTACATTGTAAATTGACTTAACCATCACTTAAGAGAGGGTATGTTCCATGCTATAAATGCCGACGATTCATAAACTTGTAATTTCACAATTGCATGTCTACCAAGGATGGAGCCGACAAAGACATTAAGGTGGGCTAGAACCAAAAAAAAAAAAAAATCTATGAACTCACAACAAATATATGGTCTATGCATGGAATCTAGTTTAGAAAGCTAAAGTCGTGATACTTATGATAAAGTGTGTTAAATTCTCGAGTAATTATAAAATTAGATGTCAACCTCTAAGATGTTCTACTAGATTTTCATGGCTTTCCTTGTCAAATAGAATATCAACGTCCGTAGAAAATATAAAATGACGGAGGCATGCATGATACACATGAGGAAATGCTATATTTAGATAAATAAATACATAAATAATTTAATAAAGTACCTAGTACTCTTATAAGACACAAGTCCCCAAAATCTTTGACAATATCAATTCTAAACAAATTAAAATTTTGTCCAAAACACCCAATAAAAAAAATACATAATTGTACGTCACATTTCCCAATATAGTATTTGATGTGGGCATCAATTTTCTATACCAACACATTCTAATACCACCTAAAATAGAGAAAACGATATGGAATATCGAAAGTCCAAAGAAATTGGATTTATTTCACATCCATTTTTGGCTCACTTCAATAATATACTCATAATCAAATTAATTTCTTAATGATAAATTTTTAACAAATATACTTTTTATTGACAAAATTAAATATAAAGCAAGTTAATTAGTTTGATAATAACATCTATTTCATGGTCAAAATAATTAAATTTTTACTTATAAATATAAATAAGTAATGAAACATACATAGAAACAAAAATTTAATTACTTTTAAGCTTAATTAAACATGTAACATTTCTTATTGTAAAATGAGTAATTTATATTTAATTTTTATCAATAAAAATTGTTTATTATAAAATTTACTTAGTTATAATTGAATTTTTTAACTTATTCAAACATGTATGAAATAAAATACCTAATTTTATAACGATCTATACTAATAAATAATTATTATGGAGCCTTCAATTAAAATTGAAAAATTGAACATTTGACTTGTGCTGGAATTAAAGTTGCAAGGCTAAAATGGTTAGTTGGACATAATTTGAACATTTACTTTTGAGAAAATTACACCCAAACCTGTTTTTAATTTTTCATTTCAATGATTAGATGATAAAATTATTTTTTTTCAAAAATCAGGTGTACCCCACCCACCCCACCCCACCCCACCCCAATCCAGACCACACGTCACCCTAATACTATACTACACCCCAAAAATGATCATAGCGAACGATCACTTCCACAACACACCCCCCAAATCTTCCACTTCTATTCCATACCCCA